CCCTAAACCCCTAAACCCTCTGAACAGAAGCCACCTTTACCGTCCTCCTGATCCGCCTCCTCCGAGTCGTCAAGGTGGTGACCTGGCTCGGGGATGCTTCAGAGTCTGCTGATTTAAGGTTTAGGGATTTAGGGNNTAGGGGTTTGGGGGCTTAGGGTTTTACAGTTAGGGGTTAGGGGTTTAGGGGTTTAGGGATTTAGGGATTTAGGGTTTAGGGTTTTAGGGGTTTGGGGGTTGAGGGTTTTACAGTTAGGGGTTAGGGGTTTAGGGATTTAGGGTTTAGGGTTTTAGGGGTTTGGGGGTTTAGGGTTTTACAGTTACAGGTTAGGGGTGTAGGGATTTAGGGGTTTGGGGGTTTAGGGTTTTAGAGTTAGGGGTTAGGGTTTAGAATTTGTGGATTTAGGGGTTTGGTTTAGGGGTTTAGGGTGCCCCAAGGTTTAAATAGGGTGATTTTGTTGTTATGTAAGGGGTTATAGAGGGAAATACAGGGGCCAAGAGGGCCCTGACATAATGCTTATTATCCCTTACAGTCACTCTTGCTGGGTGGCGATCCACCTAATATGTGTGCGCTTAGGGTTAGGTTTAGGGTCACAAGCGTAGAGGGTGGTAGGGTCATAAGGTCGTAGAGTTGCGGGGCTACCCGTATTTAGGCGTAAACTAGTACGGAACTAAGGTTTCAACGGAAAGGAAACTACTCCTACTACGTTATGTAGGGTTTAGTGTACTTGAGAAGGAAGGTATGTAAAAGAAAAGGGAAACTACTATATTGTGCAGGCTGCAGGGTTTAGGTTTTGGGTTTTAAGCACGAAGAGGGCTTAGAAAGTATAATTCGAACCCCGTCAGCCGAGGGCTTAGGATTCAGGACCAAGGTTTGTGGCTCTTACTCGGTTTCCCGGCCGCTCCAGTCCAAGATTTTGGCGCATGATAGTGCCTGCACCCTAAGCCAAAAGCCTTAAACCCGTAGGAACCTCAAGTGACCTCAACCCAAACGGTAGTCTACATAGGTGATTACACCCTAAACCATAAACCGTTCAGGCTTAGGGTTCTAGGAGAGCATTGGTGTCAGTGAGTCATCCTGACGTGAGCTAAAGTCTAAACTCCTAGTATCCCCCTCAATTACCCCTATAATATAGGGTTTAGGGGGGTCCAAACTCCTGGTATCCCCCTTCATAAGCCCGATAATGTTCCCCTACTATATAATCCCCTATGTAACCCCTTTAACGAGTTTAGACTATAGCTCATCAAAATGATGAAAGACGGGCGAAGGGTTTCAAGTTTTGGGGCTTACATTTTTTTCGCTGTAGCGTTTAGGGGTTGAAGGTCTAGGGTTTTAGGAGGAGAGAGAGAGAGAGATGTATCTATCAATGTATGTATACATATACATATGTATGTATGCCTTTTGTAATGTAAAGACCTCCAATTTTTTCAAAATGTGTAGAACGTGTGTTTTCCAATGAAAACACAGGCCTGCATTCTGACGTGCTCTCCATAAGAATCTGTGTATTTACATTTGTGTATAGATAACTTTTAAATGCGCACATGTCTGAATGTGTACAAGTTGCTTCTTGAGCGGTTATCCTGTGGTTGATGTATTTCAAGCCTCCAAGGTTTTGATCATAGCCTGGCGCTTGGAGGGTCATTGGGACTTGGTAAGTAGGCCAATAACCCCTGTGTTTTTTTATATGGTAACTGCATTTGTCCGGATTATGAACCTACTTATTATCCCCATTATGAAGCTACTTACTAAGTCCCCATGACCTTTCAAGTACCCTGTGACTGTCCAAGATTCTGCGAAAATGCAAAGCTAAGGTGAAGACTATGCGCCTGGTTCGTGCAGCACGGCTGAAAATTATCACAACCCGCCCTATTGTTGATACTGGGTGCCATGCATGTTTTCCAAATTTCAGCTATTCAAGGCACTTCAAGTCAGGATTTTTGAAATTGATATCAAGCATGAGGTTGTTGGTGGAGGGAATCCTGGGTTAACCTAAGTCCTAATACATCTTAGGAATTACTGTAAGTTGAGGGCGCGAGATGCATCCACATCTGTTCAGGGTTACGGAGTAATACTGAGGCCTCCTAAACCCTAAACCCTCGAAACCCTAAAACCCCTAAACCCTAAACCCCAAACCCTAACCCCCCCCACTGGCGTCTCCGCAGTAAGGCAGCTTCCACACATTACTCTTTGCCCATCATGGGCCCAGCTTGCAGCACTTCAGAATCCTCTACCCATCAATTCAAAGCCTTTCTGAAGGAGCCCTTGACGGCTTACCTGCCAGAAACTTGGCAAGTAAGTCTCCTGGGCCAGCTCGTAAGCCTCAAGCCACCCTAAATCTCAAATTCAGACATTTGGCTCCCCAATGTCTCAATCCGAAAGTCCATGCACATGCATGGGTCAAAGTCCCCAGCAGCCTTCTGAGTTCTGGAGTGGGGGAAAGGGTCTTAAGGAAAATTGTTCTGTAGTTTCCCTAGGAATTATTTCTCATGTTTAGTATCATTTTAACTTTAACCCTAAACCCTGAACCCTAAACCCTAAACCCTGAACCCTGAACCCTGAACCCTAAACCCTAAACCCTAAATCCTAAACCTTCAACCCTAAACCCTAATTTTCTGTTACAAGTCCAGGGGGCCCAAAACAGCTCTGGGGATGGTAGATGGACTACAGTCTAAACTCCTTAAAGGGGAGTTATATAGAGATTTAGGGTTTAGGGTCTAAACTCCTTAAAGGGGGTTATATAGGGGCATATATAGGGAACTACTATAGGGGCTATTAAGGGGGATACCAGGACTTTAGACTATAGCTCATATGGACGATACTGTAGGGATCTCATTTGCGGCTCTCCCTTCCAGTCTTTCGGCTTTTTTTTGTTTGCTAGGGTTCCTTCCGGTTGTTGTTACCCAAAGGGTCCAAGGCCCCAAATAATCGGGCTTTAGGCCCAAATACCACCATTATTATAGTATTTGGACCCTAAACCCCTATTATTTGGGTCCTTGGACTCTTAGGGGTCCTCACTGCTCCTCTTGACATCTCGGGCGCAAACTTCTTCCTACCTGCAAGAGCTACTGTTGGGATCAACCATAGCCAAACCGAGAACCCTGCGATTCCCATATGACTTTAGACAGGCCCTGATTGCAGGGGTCCTGCATGAACGGAATCCCCTCACTAGACAGATCCAAAAAAGACTAAGGAGGGTTTAGGGCGTTTAGGGTTTCAGGAAAAGGGGCCTCAAGAACCTAAACCCTACCAGATCAGAGACCATCTTCCTCTGACACCTGCGGTTCGTGCCGAGGTTATGCAGCTGTTCGGCCAATTGCGCAGCTTTTTGGCTGAGTTTCAGATGCAGTCCCCGCCCTGCAAGTTGTAGAAGTCTTGAATTACACCTTCGAAGAAAGGGACCCGACATGAGCCCTACATGTTAAGAGTTTCCAAAATTCCCTCATCTCAGGATCCTCGGAAGGATTCTAGCACGTTGGGGTCTGTAAGTTGCCTGCTTGTTTATAGACATTGCCATATCTTGGACCGCTCAAAGGTATAGTTGAAAAGCCCCGCAGCCGCCTCTCCCTAGGATTTCGCTCCCACGTGAAGCGTGCTCAATCAACAACCATCTCAGTTTTATTCAGTTTTCTAGGCGTGTCCGGACGCTCCTGCTTGGAGCGTCCTCGGAATCTTGCTCGGAATCGACAATCTTCTCGCTGGACGCGCTTGCTTTCGGACGCTCCTGCGTGGAGCGTCCTCAGAAGTTTGCTCGCAATCGACAACCCTCTTTGTTCGTGGCGTGTCCGGACGCAGCGTGTCCGGACACAGCGCGTCAGAATTTTGCTCGGAATCGCCAACCTTCTCAGAGATCCAGGCTGATCCCGGCGCTCCCGCGCAGAGCATCCGCAGAATTATGTCTGGACCCCCCTGCAATCATCTTTGCAGTGTCCGGGCGCGTCTGGACGCTCCCGCATGGATTGTCCCCAGAGTTTTGGTGGCCGGAATTGATAGCGCTGTTAGTGTTCAGGCCTTCTTGAAAGTTTGCCCGGCAGACATTGTCCTACGCACAGTTTAGTGAAGCGTTTCAAGTTTAATGTAGTTATTCCCGAAAGTGTTGTGAAGGGTTTTCCCGTGGAGGTGGTGGTCTATAGGATGGCCTGATGTATTTTTGATATGATGGCTTGATGTTTGTCTGATGTGATGCTGTGAATGCGATGATGAGACGAGATTGTTGTAAGGTTTATGTCCCCTTGACTTGCGCACGGGGCACCGCTGGTGGTATCCGATGGGATGTGAGGTTGACGACATGATGTGAGGTTTTCGTACGCCTTTTGTGAGATAAGCTTTTCCAATGTCAGCTTCCCTTAAGTGTTGCCAAGGTTTTATTCCGTCGAGATGGTTGTCTATAGGACGGCTCAATGTTTGGTTGATGGGATGATTTGAATGGGAAGGTTTAATGAGAAAGTAGTACAGTTTTCGCAAGGTTTTGGATGGGATGTGAAGTTGATGCCATGATATGAGGTTTTCGTACTGTTTTGGTGAGGTGTTAAATGCATTTTAACTTTCTTTAATGAGGAAGAACATTAGAGAGTGAAAAACCATGGATGGCTGGATGGATGGATGGAGTGATGGTGCATGTATTCTTGGAAAAAGAACGGGTGCCATGATGTTAGACGTCGCGGTGCCAAGCCAAGCGCTTTCGGGATCTTCAATCTCTAGTTTAATTTTGGTTGGCCCTGGCAGTGTGTCTGAAATTCCTACCCAGCCGATCAGAAACATTGTTGATGACATTTTTCCTTGCAGGTCCTTGCTGGTGAAACTGCCAACCGGCCGAGCTTAGGACCGGTGCGTCCCATGCGTTCCTGCTATCGTTTTCCTGGGAGCAGGGTGCTTTGGGGCGGGCACATATTGCAGACGGATGCTGAGGGCGACCACATCCCAAACGCCTGTTTTCCATGTGCTTGTCACTGAATTTCAAGTCATTATCTGCATTGCTAGGTTGTGCTTTGAGATCGTATGCACCAAAGGCGGGGGATTGTGTTTGCAGCTCGCGCGCCTCGCATACGTGACAATAAGTGACAGAAGGGTCTCGCGGCTCACACTTTTGGCCGGTGACCGTACGAATGCTTTGTTTGCTATGCCTATCGCAGCAAATTCACACGGTTTTTGAAAACATGCATTGTCAGTTGTTCAGGGCTCTCCTTTGCGAATTGCTCTCAGAAGGGCAGCGGATGTTGTTTCCTATCTGTTGTTGCAGGTCCTTCCTTACCGATTTGCAAGCCGGTTGTCCTTAGGACTCGTGCGTGCCATATGCCCCTGCTGTTGTTTTACTAGCAGGTGGGGGCACGTGGAATGCGCGTATGTTGCAAACGATAGCTGCGGGCAACTGCATGCCAAAGCCTGTCTGCCATCTGCTTGTCACTGAGACTTTAACCCTTGCACTGTTTAGGGCACTGCTTTGGGTTTACCTATGTTGCAAACCCGCAGCGCTGGTCATCATCCGACAGCCCCGAACATTGTTTTCGGCATGTTCCGTCCGATACGAGGACTTTGGTAACCGCACAGTCCCCGCTGGAAAAATCATACGCTTATCATATGGTTTTTATGAGGTCCACGTGTTCACTTTTGGGTGTTTGGGTAACCCAAATCTTCTTGCTGTCAGGTATGGTGGATACTTTTCTCGCCAGCCTGATGGCATTGTTCTGGTCGATGATCATGCTTTTAGTCTGCATGTCGATCGGCGCTTTGGTCTTGTGCGAATCCTGACTGTCGCTGAAGCAAGTTTTGGATGTGTCTTGAGAGTTTCAGCCGAAGGGACGCGATTAGTTAAGAAAATTGTATATCCATGAAATCTAATAAGAGAATAGGTTTTTCTAATTGTTGGGGTTTGGCCAAGTCACGCAGGAATCGTGCATACCGCTGTTGGAGGAGATGACGCTGGAAACAGCAGACTGGGTCTTCAGCAAGTACGGAACCTTCTTCCGCGCAATGTTTACCATGTTTGAGATCACCTTCTCAGGCCAGAGGTTGCTGTGCCACGAATTGCATCTGCAATTCAGCACATACGTGAAGTAGGGACGGAAATCAGGTAACATCTGCCCTAACATTTATAGATCGAATACGGGGTATATGGGGATCTCATTATAATATACCCAAAGCCGCATTTTCTTTACTTAAGGGGGACCATAAGCTTCGGCTTGTTTCACCTTCAGGTGGTTGGCCAAATTCGGTACGCCCTCTGGTTGACGATGCAACTGGCCACGACCGGAAGTACTAACAGCCAAAGTATTGATGGTCACGTGTTTGGAAGTCATATATGCAGTTGTTGTAATATTAGATAGGAATAGTAGTGTTAAAAGAAGAAGAAGTAGTAGTAGTAGTAGTAGTAGTAGTCGTAGTAGTCGTAGTAGAAGAAGTAGTAGAAGTAGTAGTGTCCCTTAATTCGTGGCTGCATGGGTTCCACGTTGGTTTGGCCCAGGTAAGCATCTACTTTGCAATCCCTTGCCTTCTGTACGTTGTTTTCATTGTCTTTGCAGCTCTGCGGCTCATCACTGCGCCGCTCGGCCTTTGCGAGATTCAGGGGCACGGGTTCAGGAATTGGGCTTCAGGGTTAAAAGTTTAAGCTGTAGGGTTGATTCAGGGATACAGTTTTAGTTTCGGCGAGATGATGTAGAGGTCCGATGCACATTCCAAATACAAAGCCGTCATCATCGGTTCGTCCAAGTATCTAGCATAGTTACCTTTTGCTCGATGGGAGAAACACAAACTAGCTCAACCATCCTGACTCATAACTTGGTAAGCTACGTGGGGACAATCTTTTCCACATTCTGTTTAAACGCCGTTAGAGCTGCTTGGACCATCCTGTCCATATTTGTCAAACCAAAAAGGAAAGAACATCCGTTCTCCAAAAGCACCGTTCTTCTCGGAAGCCTTCAAACTTGACCCAGAACCTTCATGCCGAAGCGCCAAATCGTAAGCTCAAGGCCCAAAGGCCTGAGCATGAACCTCTATTGGGGCTTTCAAAAAATTAGGACCTATGATGGTGATTCTTTATTATGTTGGGGTTTATATTGGGGTCCCCTGTTTTTGGAAGGCCTATAAGTCTAGTCCTGCACCCCACTCACAAAGCAAGGTGAACCCCAACCCCTAAATCGTGGACATTTCGCCTGGCGCCTGGCGGAAAAGAGCGCTCAAACCCTAAACCCTAAACCCTCCAGGCTCCTTGTCCGGTCTACCATGCAAGCCATGTCCAATGATGTCGCCACGGCCGTCCTGGAGCGACAAGAAAGGTCGATCGAACTCCAGGCCCTTGGCGTTCAAATGATAAGGCTCAGGTTGAAGGTTTAGTTCAGGTTTTAGGGTTTATGAGTCTGCAGAGTCTTAGGGCTTAGGGTTTAGGATGTCACGTAGGGTTTAAGATTTAGCGTTGGGGGGGCGCTTCCCCAGATAATAGTGGTTCGTGGGATGCGTAGGGGCAAATGGGGTTTAGGATTTGGAGGTTTCAAGGGGCACTAGGTTCAAGGCTAAGATTCAGAATGGACGGCCATATAGACAAGAACATGGAAGAATGAAATAAAACCTGGGATGTAGGAGCTTAGAGACCGTTACCAAGAAAAAATATGGTCCTAGATTCCTGGTACCATAAGTTTCTAGCATTCATATCCTCCCCCCTTTTATGGACCATTGTCCTGTTACAGGGGGGTCTATATGAGCTATAGTCTGCTAAAACTCCTTAAAGGGGTTACCCTGAAACCCGAACCCTCAGCTTTGTGTGAGGCCAAGCTGCGAATGCTGTTCGAGGACGGTGACCTGGACGGCGACAAGGCCTCGAGCCGGGCAAATTTCTCCCCCTCAATGGGGGTTCTAGACAGGACTGTATAGTGGAGAATTATAGGGGTTATTAGAAGGAAGATTCGGAGTTTAGACCTTAAGCCTTAAACCGTGTGCCCTAAGCCCTAAACCCCAAACCCTAAGCTATTGGGTATTACGGGGGCTACTAGGAGTTTAGACCCTAAACCAAAACCCTGAGCCCTAAACTATAAAGGGGGATGCTAGGACGGAGTTTAGATCCTAAACCCTAAGCCCTAATGTATTGGTTATTAAGGGGGAAACTTGGAGTTTAAACCCTAAACCCCAAACCCTGAACGATGGGTTACTAAGGGGGATACTAGGAGTTTGGACCCTAAACCTAAACCCTGAGCCCTAATCCCTAAACTCCAAACCCTAAACTATTGGTTACTAGGGGGGATACTAGGAGTTTAGATTATAGCTCAAATGGCAAGGCGCTGAGCCTCTCAGAGTGGGAAAAGCTCCTTGAACATCGAGACCCTTGTCGGGCAGGGCTTAGGCCTGAGGGTTCAAGGGCCTTAGGGTTTGAGGGCTGAGGGTTTAGGGTTTAGGGGTGCGCGTTTTAGGGCCTTAGGGTTGTAGGGCTAAGGGGTTTAGGGATTTAGGTTTTTAGGGCCTCAGGGTTTAGGCTTTAGGTTCTTAGGTTTAGGGTCTTAGGGTTTTGGGGGTTAGGGTGTAGGGTTCGGGGTCAAGCTGGGTTTAGGCTTAGGATGTACCACGGGACTTATAGTCGGGAATCAAACGGAAAAGGACATGGAAATTCAATAGGAACTGGGCTTATGTCGGAGCTTATAGGGATTCCGTAGAGAGGTGGGGTTAAGGGTGTAACTAGCAGCCAAAAAAAAAGGCGCTCGCCAGGCCTCCACAAAAAAAAGAGCCAGGCCCCCATAGCAAAAAGGCTTCAGGAAAAAACAGCATTCCTACCTGTACTTAGGGAAGGGTACTTTATTGGGAAGCCTTACAATATGGATAGTAGTATGCCGGCGAGGCTACATGGGGGCATTCCAGTTGTGGAAACCACCAGCTGGTATGTGTGATCCCTCCAATACATTTCATAGACATAGGAGAATACGCCCCAAGCCCTACGTACTAAAACGGGCCCCAATGTCGCCAATACATGTAGAGTGAGATTGAATTCCCGTTCCGGTTGCCGTATTTTCTAAGAAGAAGACGACGTAATCTTGGTTGTAATGTTACCTGGTTCAACCGTCCAACGAAACTCTAGTCAAGTGACCTGTCCAGCCAATTAAACCACCCCAGCCTATACTATCCCCCAACTCCTGCCTCACATAACCTCAAGAAGCCCTAATCATCCTTCAAAAACCTTAATCAAGGGAAGTTGGGTAGTGAAGTTCCCCAATTGAAGTGTGGGAATTTGACTGGAGGCCGGGCCAATTTTTAGGGTTCAGGGCTCCAGGTTTAGGGTTTAGGATTTAGGGTTGGGAGGTATGGGCATCTAGTATTGCCTAGTAACAGTATATGACCTCATTCCACCTCACCCACACCAGGTTTAGAAGCGTATTTGCCCCAAAATGGTCCACATCTTAAGCACGCAAAATCTAATCTGCCCACAAAGGGTTCAGACAAGGAAATCGTGCAGTTCTTGAGCGTGCTGGAAGTTGATGTTCACGACGCAAAGATGCTCTTCCATATGCTCCTGGGCCGTCATTTACCTTACCTACCTTCATGAGTACTCTACTGAGCACTGTATACTAAACCCTAAACCCTAAACCCTATCCAGTTCCCAATGATTAAGAGACCCCAAACCCTGACAGATCAGCCCTCTGAAGTGCCAAATTGTCATATGCGCTATAACCCTAAGGGTCCAAGGACCCAAATAATAGGGTGTTAGGTGTATACTATATGGATTACTTGGGGATAATGGAAAATGAAATGGAAACTACTATTTGGGGTTTAGAGTTTAG